TTTCTTTGTTAATTATTTTCTGATCTACTATAACATGTCTTACAGGTTGTTCACTTCCGATCCTTAGAAAAGTTGAAGGAGGATGATTTCTGTTTAGAGCTGTATGTTCTAAAACTTTGCATATGCTAATAATGTCATCTTACTCTTTTTTTCTTCTTTTTATTATATATTATAAAGGTAGAGTAGATGATTTACCACAAGGTTTTATCACTATTACTTTCTCAAACATTTTCTTGTTATGAAAAGGTCAAAGATTAATACATATGATGAAGTTGTGGAAAGAGTAGCTCAGCGACTTGGCTTGGATGATCCATCTAAAATAAGGCTCACACCCCATAATTGTTACTCTCAGCAACCTAAACCCCAGCCAATTAAGTACAGAGGTGTAGACACCCTTGGAGATATGCTGGTCCACTACAATCAGGTGAGTGTAACATTGACTAATAAGTATGAGCATTAGTTCCTGAAAGTCTAACTCTTTTAACTACTTGTTGACAGACATCTGATATTTTGTACTATGAAGTACTGGACATTCCTTTGCCAGAATTGCAAGGTTTAAAAACCTTAAAAGTAGCTTTTCATCATGCTATCAAAGATGAAGTAAGCATACTGCTCTGATTTTCATTGATTTACTCTTTTACCTTTCTCTAACCGAGAGCACAATTTTTTCCTTCTGAATTTTTGCTTTTATAATTACTCAAATTTCTCCTCCTTCGCTTTGTAGGTGGTCACTTACACTATCAGACTACCAAAACAATCTACTGTTGGTGATGTAATTAATGATCTAAAGACAAAGGTAAAATGGTAAACTTGGTCTGGTATTGCCTAGTTTCAACTTGTCTGTGAACTGAAAACTTACTCTTCTCCTTTATTGATGCTTCTATTTTGTTAGCTTTACTTGATGCTACTCTACTGTGCTGCATAACAGGTTGAGTTTTCAAAGCCAGATGCAGAATTACGATTGCTAGAGGTCTTCTACCACAAAATTTATAAAGTATTGATTTCAATCCTTCAACATTTGCTTCATTTTATACTTCTTAGCTAGGTCTTCTTATTTTGTCGCCGGAAATATTTGCCTCTGGAGAAGTCCTAGTCGTTATGACATAAGCTCAGAAACTGTTGAAGTCTACAAATAATATAAACAGTTAACTGATATATTTGTTTGTAGACATCGTCTTTGTCTCCATTCTATTTACCTCTTGTTTTAATGATTGTTTTCATGCAGATATTTCCAACAAGTGAGAAGATAGAGAACATAAATGACCAGTACTGGACATTGCGGGCCGAAGAGGTTCTCTCTCTTACACTCCCTTTTCTGATTCTCCACTTCTGTCCCTACTATATCTGCATGTGCCTTTATACAGTGGCCATTATGTTGGGTAAGGTAGTGAGTTTTCCTGTGGTCAAAAGTTTGAACACATATTGGTAGTTTTCTTAAAGTCAAAAGCTTGAACAAATATTGGTAGTGTTCCTGTGGTCAAAAGCTTTTATCCTTCTCTTCCTCACCCCCTCCTCTCAAACTAATTACCACATATAGATGCTGCTGACTTTGACTTACAAGTTGGTCATAAAAAAAGATTGAAATCATGTAGGGCCTTTACAAGCTACTGCTGTCATCGATAGTCTTATTATATAGATCCATGAATCTAAAGAATAGTGGTGTGAAAAAGCAGACGAGAATAAGGTCTTAGTTTTTTTTTGATACTCTCATCTAAATTGGTGCTGTAAAGAAAGAAAATGGACCTTGAGTTACCCCACCAAAAACAAATAAAAAATAAAAAATAGCACATTTGTTGATCGAGGCAAATTTAAGGCTAAATTATGGGGCATGCGAACCTGTGGTCTCACCGTAAAACTAGGTATTTTATGTATATATTTCATAAAATTGGTAGAATGTTATCTGTTACTACTAGTGCTACAAGAAAACTAAATGGTGCACTTGGTTGAATGTTGTCACCTAGAGCTAGAGGTCTAGGTATCAATTCCCACTTAATACATATTCTTCTTTCTTTTTTTAAGTGGTGCACCCATGTTCTACGAATCCTAGATTCGTCACTGTTTATTGAGGATTATCCAAAGGCTATTTAAGGAGACAACATCCCATTCCTTCAATCAAAGTGCGACACTTAACATCCCCACACTTCTAGGGTACATGTGGAGTGTGGACAATATAGCATAGAAGCCCAATAATAGCTAATGCTAAATGTCAGGTGTTGAATAGTATTGGCATGTTACTCCTTAATAACTTCCTTGACGATAAATATGAAGCGGCAACTCAATTACCTTTCTAGGGCCAAAAACACTATTTGACACTGTTAAATTGCAGTTTATTAATCTGGATCTTCTCTTCTTCCCTGCAGATTCCTGAAGAAGAGAAAAATCTAGGCCCGAATGATCGTTTGATTCATGTGTATCACTTCACTAAAGAGACTGCACAAAACCAAATGGTAAGATTCTCTCCCCCCATATCCTTACCCACAGGGAAAAGGTGAACAAGAAAAAAGGAATTTTGTCTCATGCAGCATTGTTTACTTCTTGACATTTGAAACAGCAAATTCAGAATTTTGGGGAACCTTTCCTCTTGGTTATCTATGAGGGTGAGACTTTAGCTCAAGTGAAGGTGCGAATACAGAAGAAATTGCAGGTCCCAGATGAAGAGTTTGCTAAGGTAATTTGCAACTTGACATTGCTTTATCTTCCTATGAATGGCTATTTTACTCAAACCAATTTACTATAATCGCTTCCCATTTTACGCATATATGGGTTAGTACTTGGTTTCCTTTATCTTTTTTTTTTTTGTTTGTTTGGGGGAGGGGGAATCGGGAATGGTTTGGATTAGTATGTATGTAGTTGATGCTTGGTTTCTTACTTTCATTTGTTTACAACTTTCAGTGGAAATTTGCATTCCTCTCACTTGGCCGTCCTGAGTACCTTGAGGACTCAGATATATTGTCCAACCGTTTCCAGGTACTAAACAACAACTCCCGCCACCGCTAAAATTCTCATTAAATGAATCTGTAATTATGCATCTTTGGATCTTTTTGTTAACATGCAGCGAAAGGATGTTTATGGTGCTTGGGAGCAGTATCTTGGCTTGGAACATCCTGACAATGCCCCTAAAAGGATTCATGCAGCATATCAGGTAATCTGAATGTTCGGTTATAACTCGTGGGCATACTCTGTAATTGGTAAAAGAACAAAAAATTAACAGCTTTAATACGTAAAGTTAGTTCCAGAGAGAGATTTGACTCGTGGACTCTTGAGGTTTCTTTATCATGTCTTTGGCGGGTTACGAGACTAGGAGTTCTCCTTCTGTGCAGCCTATGTTCCATAGTTGTCATTACTCATCTAGCACTTCAGAGTATTTCCATCTGTTGAGGATGAAGGCAAACTCTTAATTACTTCAAGATTTATCTGATTTTCTGTTGAATACCTCTGCTTCTATCGGCGCTTCACCTGGGAACATAACCTAGTTACATTAGTAGAATCTCTGGAAGGAATTGGAGAGATCAGAGTTCTAGTATTGAATGCAAAAAAGGCTTAACAACCGTATAAAAAGTTGATTTTCCGATTGAATGCATGTACAAATTGCAATGCTTTACTTCAATGTGCTCCTGGTATCGTCTCTTTGTTTCTCCATGAGATGAACTTTGGTTACTGTGAAGGTCTCTAGCTGTACCTGTCCTCTACTCTGCTGAGTTTTTAAATAAATGGGACTGGACCTCCTCATTTCTTAATAATACCTACTCTTTTCTTTCATGTTGCAGAATCGCCCGACGTACGAGAAGCCTGTTAAAATTTACAACTAACACTGCTGAAAATGAAGATTGTGAGATGGTTCAATGCTACGATTGACCATTGCATTTGTCGCTGAAGTTAGAAGCTAGTTTGAGTCTGTACAGGGTCTTATGATTTTTGTTACTGAAGCATCTTGTATTCTGATATGGATGTGAAGTTTGATCCTAATGCAGCATCCATATCTCAGTACTTGAACTCAAGTGATGCATAAATGACCTATCGATAACTCTCTCTCTCTCTGTTCAAGTGTAAGTGTAAGCGAGCCATACATTGGCAAAGAATTTTGAACAAATGAATGAATACATGATATATTGTGCTTGATTCAGTTCTGACTTTTATCTGAGGAGAAGAGTACTAAGTTTTCTGCCATTTTTGGGCTCTATAGATGTGATTTTTTCTGGTAGAGATTTTGAGGTTTTTGCCTCTGAAATTGTGTAACCTGAAGTAAGTTTGGTAATTTCTTGCTATTGTAATTAACCAGTAATGAAGAGTGACAAATTGTTTGTCACAAGTACCTGTTGAATTTTTGTTTTTTGTTTTCATGTGTCCATTGATAAGGCAATTGTGCAGCAATAAAGCTGGTTTCTGGAGCTGTAGTTGAAAGGAAATGATTCGTGTTGAAAAGTTTAGTAAAATGCTTTTCTATTAAATATCTGATAGATTCATTTGTCAATATCTGATATATTTTCTCTCAAACTTGACATTCAAGGATACAAATATATACTCCATAAAATTACAAAATTGAACGAAATATCAAGTGGAGTAGTAAGTTAAAGTGTACACATACATATATACAAACTTAATATTATTTTTTGTTTCTATACACAATAGATACTGAATTTCATTAAGATTATTTATCCCACCATTTACATGGGACGGATAATATCAAAATTGTGGTACAATTTTTTTCCTGTTAATAATTAATATCCTCAATCAAATACCAGATAAATTTAATCTGAAATAACATACTTAATTCCTCTACTAAATGGTTCCTGTGTAAAAATTCCAGTTCTATTACTAGTGAAAACTATTTTTTCATTTTTAACCAAAAATATCAAATTTGAATTTTGAGAATGATATCCCTTTAATAGCCAACACTTAAACTTTCAAAGGGTGATTTTTCATGATAAATTCGATTCAAAACCATATAAAAAAATGATAAAAAGAAGGAAGAAGGAAGAAAGAAAAAGAGTAAGAGAGTGAACATAAAGGGAGCTCTGAGCTCCACAAATTAACTTCCAATGGCAACAACACTCTCTTACTCCTCACTCTATCCCTTCCATTCTCTCTCTCCTTCTTCATCTTCTTCAACAATTTGTTCATCTTTATGCCCTTTTACTTGCTGTCCTTCTTTTCCAACAAAACTTGAATTCCCTGTCTTGTCAACATCATCATCATGTTTTTCCCAATTTCACCATTTTTTCCCTTTCCCCACAAATCATCATCATCATCATCCCATTTTGCTCTTTGTTGGTTTTGATTCACCCCCTGTGGATACTCAAACTTTTCTTGCTACTATCAGTGTTTTAACTGCCATTGCTCTCTCCCTCTTTCTTGGCCTCAAGGTAAAAAAAGACCAAAAAAAAATCTTACCTTTTCTTGAATTTTATCATAGGTTTCTCAAAGTTCCTTTTTTTAATTGCATTTCTCAAAGATTCTTGCTTTCAGTTATGGGTCAATTTCTTTATCTTGGGTGTCATAAAGTTCCCTTTTTTATTGCTTTATTAAGCTGTTTAAGGTTTTGTTGAATTTGAGTTTTTTTGTTATTATATTTGCAGGGAGATCCAGTTCCTTGTGATAGGTGTGCTGGGAATGGTGAGCCTTTTATCTGTTTTGGTTTTAATTACTGCTATGTGTGTATGTTTATGTGTATGTATGTGTTTGTATATATATATTCTTCATGTAGATTGATGTAATTGAGCTAAGAGAAAACTATGTGTGTAAGTTAAGTCCAACTGTTGAATTAAGAATTTGTTATGGATTCCAAGTTGTAAGACATCTCAGTCCATAAGCAATACTAGTTAAAAACTATTTCAGTACTTGAAAGGTATCATAAAATCGTGTAAGGGTCGCTATCATGGTCAAAACTAGATAAATGACGACTTATAGATATGGTAAAACTTATAGCATTGATGTAGCCATTACGATGCTGCATCAATAACTAGTAAGATGTTGTTATATTCTATGTTAGATCCTGCTTTATTCATTTATGCAGGCAATTATTTTTTGGAATTTTGATATATAACTCCAAACAAGCGGATTGGTAAATATTTTATCTTCATGAGGGAGTGGAAGGGTATGTTTCGAGTAGCTAGGCATGCCTGGCAAAGACATGTCCAGGAGGGGGTGTGAACTTTTTAATCTACGATGTATTTTGAATATCAATTTTGTTTTAGGATGTTATTATGTGTGCTTCATCAGGAGAAATGCAACAATTCTGCAGTCAAATATGCAATAGATCAGAACTATAAATAATAAAAAGTGAAGTCTGGTACTTCCTGCAGTCTTCATTTCTTCCCTAGGCTAACAGCTTCTAGAAGGTATTAAAGGAGGATTGTAAGGAGAAAGATTCTAATGACTCTGTTAGAAATCGTTGGAGAGCATACTGATGTCATATATGATAGTTTCCGGTTAGCTGCAAACCTAATGGTTTGGGATTAACCACTTTACCGGTGCACTAAGTGGATTGCTGACCCTTGCTTGTGGGCTCCGGATCTCCATTTGCCCTTTGGACCATGCTGTATGGATTGAAGCAATCCTCGAGGGCGTGGCTTGAGAAGTTCAGCAAGACCTTAGTTTAGTTTGCCTACAAAAGGTGTGCTTCTGGTCACACACCTTTTCTACGAAAGGGGGAGAAAGTGAGCCGGATCATAGTAAAGACCTCTGATTGTTGTTGTTGTTTTCTTTCTTTTTTTACTTAATGCATCCCCAAAAAAAACCACCCCTCTTTTTTCTTGAAGAAAAGGGGCAGCTAGAGGGAAGTTTTGACATCTTTCCGGTGCAGCCAATTCTGTTTTAGTTTTAACATCACAGATGAAACTAACGAAAAGGTCTTACACAAGCAAATAAGTGTAAAGTGATGTGCATATGCACTTCTCACAGATTTCATTGTGCTGTTGGTGTTCTTCCCTTTTTGTTCCTTAAGGGGACGAAAATTCAAGTCATTAACTTTGTTTTGTTGTGTAGGTGGAACGAAGTGCGTGTTTTGTAACGATGGTAAGATGAAGAAAGAAACAGGATTAGTAGACTGCAAAGTTTGCAAGGGTGCAGGTACTATTCAGCTGCAATTTATTCGCGACCAATTTTTAGTAAATCGTTAAATTTGGAATACTTATAGCATGTGTAACAGATTTAGATGAACTCTTGAATTTGGTTTTAGATCATATAAAATGACATGAAAGAACTTAAATGATCCTTTACCATCCATCAGGTTTGTAGGTACCCACGCTCTTGCTTATTATTTTCTAGAACCTCAGGAACTATGTTTCCGACTCACCCTCGGCTTTGTCCTTGGGCTTGTCTAGCAACTTAGCATGTTCAGGTTGAGACACCTCGATGATGATATAGTCAAACTAATATTTGTTCTCGAGTAGAATGCATCGAATGATCATTATATTAATTTATTTTTTTTGCAGGATTAATACTCTGCAAGAAATGTGCTGGTTCTGGATACTCAAAAAGGCTATGACATATACTACTTGTACTCTTTTCCCCTCTAGTTATTGACTTGTGTTCTGAGGCTAAATCACACATACAAGCTCACATATGAGGCTATTTCATTTTGGTTAAATATTTTGCATTTATATATTTTTCTTTAAAAAGAAGGGTTACTAGTACTTTTAATCCCTCGATTATCGGTAGATATGATTTTAGTCCCTACGATATCTGCCTAAGCACATTAAACCTTTAGTCAATTGAATTGTGTGTTTTGGATCCCTTTGCTTGTGAAAACTCACAAATTGACATAATTATTATAGTTCCATCTTAATTGCTCATGTGTTGTGTTAAGTTTGTATTGTTACTTCATATTTGACGGTAATATAGTTCTAGATATAGTTAAATACAACATATTTTGAACGTGAAGGGATCAAAAACATACATTTCAATCAATTGAGGGTTAAATATGGTGAGTTATATATCACAAGGATCAAAAGCAGAAACCAAAATGTTAGAGCTTATTACGATCTATGCATTATTATGCAAAAATTCTACTTAATAGGCAATTGAGAAGCTTTTGAACCATATATTTCAAGAGAACCCCAAAAGCTTGTCAAATATATCATTTTGATTATTTTTTTTTGATGTATTTTGTCAAATAGCATTTGTCTTCACACAAGCTTTATTAGTAATTGTTTAGCCAAAAGACTTTTTTTTTTCTTTCATCATCATTTATTCTATTCCAAACCTATTACACATGTGACAAACAAATACAAACTTTGCAATAGTAGTTGTTTTTATTTTTCTTTTTGTCTTGCTTATCATCATCAAATTGAACAAGAAAACAAAAAAAACCACCCTCTATTAACTTTTCCTTTGTAATTTTCTCCCATTTTCCTCTATTTTAACTCACACACACTCACTAAGGTACATTATCATACACTAACAATAACACACATTGAGAGTTGTGTATATGGAGGATAGTAAATATGAAGTTGAAGAATGTAGAGGTGTACTTAGGGTATATAGTGATGGAACTATACTAAGATTAACTAAGCCAAGTTTTGAAGTTCCTATACATGATGATGGTTCAATTCTTTGGAAAGATGTTGTATTTCAAGCCATGTATAATCTTCAACTCCGGCTCTACAAGCCGGCTTCTCCTATCTCCGCGGCTAAGCTCCCCGTCTTCTACTACATTCACGGGGGTGGCTTTTGCATTGGCTCTCGTGCGTGGCCTAACTGTCAGAACTATTGTTTCAAGCTAGCTTCCGAGCTCCAAGCCGTGGTTATCTCTCCTGACTATCGGCTAGCTCCTGAGAACCGGCTCCCAGCCGCTATTGAAGATGGTTACGCGGCTGTGAAATGGCTTCAGGACCAAGCCGTGTCTGACGAGCCAGACACGTGGCTTACGGATGTTGCCGACTTTAGCCGAGTTTTTATTTCGGGTGACTCGGCTGGTGGCAACATCGCACATAATTTGGCAGTTCGGCTTCAAGCCGGCTCAGCTGAGCTGGATCCAGTTCGAGTTAGGGGTTATGTTTATTTGCTTCCTTTCTTTGGAGGGACTATAAGGACAAAATTTGAAGCTGAGGGGCCTAAAGATGCTTTCTTAAACATTGAGCTCATTGACAGGTTCTCTAAATTTTCATTGTTTTTATTATGTGTTATATTTTTTTTTCATAAACAAATAACTTCAATTGCATTTGTTTAAAATTATAATTGATAGGAGAATAAAGATTGTACTAAAGTTATGACAAACTTGTGAATAATTAAAAAAATATGCAAATTATGTCATTTCGGAAAAAAATTGTGAACGATTTAATAAAATAAAAGAATGAATATTGTACTTCATCAAAACTTGTGGATAATTTAACTCAAGCAAGGTCTTACGATTTGACAAAACTTTTGAATAGTTTAACGAGATAGGAAAAATCAAGTTCTGACGTGTTCGTTATATATAAATTGTTCATGGTTTTTCCTTCTTCTAGGTACACATTGAGGCTATTTTTTTCAAAAATTGTTTTCTCATACGAGAACAAAAGTTAAAACACCGAACATGAAATGAACTTGAACCTATTTTTCCAAGGGAAGTTCGGTGCACAAAGCATCATGTATTAGCAGGATTAGGGAAAGGGTTGCAACCCTTGGTGTGATATAGACAATCTATCCTAATTCAAATACTATTGAATTTTTCCATGGCTTGAGCTCGTGAACTATAAATCATCCTAAAATAAAAGTTACATATAAAGGCTATTTTCTTAATTTGTGTGTTATTTTTGTAAATTACAGATTTTGGAGGCTATCAATACCAATTGGATCAACAACTGACCATCCACTTGTGAACCCATTTGGGCCTAACAGCCCAAATTTGGAAAAAATTAATCTTGACCCAATTCTTGTGCTTGTTGGAGGATGTGATCTTCTTAAAGATAGAGCCAAAGATTATGCAAATAAATTGAAGAATTATGGAAAAAATATTGAATATGTGGAATTTGAAGGACAACAACATGGTTTTTTCACTATTGATCCTAATTCAGAATCTTCCAAGAAGTTGATGCTCATAATCAAGAAGTTCATTCAAGACAATTCTTCTTAGAATTAAAAAATAAAAAATAAAAAAAATTGTTATTTTCATTAAAATGTAATTCTTCTCTCTTTTTGTTGGTTTGTTTTTGTTTTGTTGTAATGTGTGCATTTTGCTCTATATGTAGTAAGTTTAAATTAAGGGGTCCTTTTTATTTTATTTATGTGTGTGAAGTTTGTTCATGTATGCAAAGTCATAGTCTACATTCCTAGAGTAATTGTGAATTAAAAACTCAAATTTTCTAATAAAAAAAACTAGAAGATGAACAATATTATAGAGTGAAATAACAAGGATATCGAGGGAAATTATGGCATATGCATTTTAAGTTCATGTAAAAATGATGGAAGTTTAGAATAAAAGACTGAATTTTAGGTGTAGTTTCACACTTTCAATAATTGAACTTCAAACATAGTGTGTCAGATATTTTTGGTGACACAAATAGAAGTTAAAGCTCTTAAATTTGAGTACTAAAGACAAATTTCAAATATACATACTTTAAACATTTATGTTAAAAGTTCGTATAGGTGAAGTTTAGTTGTTAAATCATGAAATTTATATTCATTTAAAATAAATTCCCTCTTTTCTTTTGGAAGTGCCTTAACAATCTAACTTACTGAAAGGTACCCGACTTTGCCTTTTCATGGTTGAGCCTCTTTTCTTTCCTCAGAGTTGGGGTTGTTTTGTGCATCCAACAACTGAAAGAGATTGCCTATCTATCGATTGAACCAGGGGTTGGGCTCCTGTTGACAGACATAAGCTTATTAAAGGAAAGACGAAGTAAGAGATCTACCCTTCGAACTCGGAGATTGAAGAAGATTCCTGTCCCACTTCTGCTTTCCTCACTCCCCGGCTCAGAATATCCTTCTTTCGTACCCAAGAGCCTACACACCAAAATGCTCGAAGATCAAGAATCGATCTTTCTATTAAACAGACTGAAAATCTTTGAGTAGTGCAACATCTTCTTTAAAATTGACATTCAAATAGATAGAATAACAACAAATAACTTCTTGTTAGTTTGTATATTCATCGAACTTAATCTCGTGAAGTTGATTTAAAAGTGGCTAAATTAGCAAAATTTCATACATTGTGACTATAACTTGAATAGTAACATTAAAAATATACTATTTCCCTTAAAATTGGCTCCATATAACCATTCAAAATTTTCAAATTCTTCTCAAACGGTCTCTTCCTTCTTCTTCTCTGCATTTGAAATTCACCCCCTACCCCTACCCCCACCCACCCCACCACCCGAACTCTCCATATCTCTTCCTTCTTCGTCCAACAGCTAATTGAAATCTCCATTTTTGTTTTGCCCTAGAATCTCCTCAGTTCACTGAATCTGAAAACCTAATTGTCAGAAAATGCCGTTATTTTCCGAGCCTCCGAGTGTTGTTAAGTCCAGATTCGGGTCACTAGATCAATCAGCAGCAACTCCGATGGATACCGCGTCGGTGACGATGTCGTCGGTGAAGAGCACGCCTAATCTCAGACTGTTCAAATCAGCTGCTAAGGATAACAGGGTTGAGTTCTCTGAGAACAAGGATGTGGTGGAATCTAACCGGAGTTTTGAGTTCCGTGAAGATCCTTCATTTTGGAAGGATCACAATGTTCAGGTAATCACTCGTTTTTTTTTCTGTATTTTTTAAACCTCATTTCAAAAAATGATCAGTTTTAGAATCTGTGTAGTAATAAATTTGGACTCTTTAACACTAGCAGCGCTAGGATTTTCACTAAGGAGTTCATAATATGAAAGAGTAAACAGGAATAACACAAAAAGGGTTCAACATATACTATATATACATGTTGAATGAGTGACCATCTAACTATTTATGTTCTGTTGATTAAGACATTAAGAGAACATTTCTGGTAAGGTACAATTTTTTTTTTCTAAATTTTGTTTTGGGATTGAGGCTTAATTGTTGTTTCAGAAATTTGGAGGCTTTCTAAGCTTCGTTTTGATGTAGGACCTCTCATTTCATTGATATTATGAATTCAAAGTTTTATAAACCGGATGTTTAAAAAGTAAAATGTTCTCAGATATGATCCAGAAATTCACAGTCAAATAAAAGTTTATTGTATTGGTGTTTGACAAAACCAAATAAATTGAAAATTCTGTTCAGTGAGTTGCTAACCATCTCACTGGTAGAGTATATGGTAGTTTTTTGTTTTATCTTACTGAATCATAGAACTTAATTTACTCATGAAGTTGGTTTCTTCTGTTTGACTGATTTTGTGCAGGTTATTATAAGAATACGCCCCTTGAGTAACTCTGAGATATCTTTACAAGGACATGGTAACTGTGTAAGACAAGAAAGCTCTCAGACAATGACTTGGATAGGGCACCCAGAATCACGTTTTACATTTGATATGGTTGCTGATGAGAATGTCACTCAGGTTTGCTTTTCTCGGCTATTGTCTTTCATTTTTCATGTATCTTTGGTGTGGTCTGTTTTCATTTCATTATATTAACAGGAGATGCTCTTTAAAGCTGCTGGAGTACCAATGGTGGAAAATTGCATGGAAGGCTACAATAGTTGTGTGTTTGCCTATGGCCAAGTATGTTGCTCAGTTACATGGCTTAAGATCTCAGATATCTGCTTTCAGCAGTACTGTCCAATTTTCATGTCGGAAATGTTAAAAAGATTTGAACTTTATACTGGTTTTATATTTAGAAACTCTATGTCTCTCTTTGTAGACTGGAAGTGGAAAAACACACACCATGCTTGGAGATATTGAAGGAGGCACCCGAAGACATAGTGTAAATTGTGGGATGACACCTAGGGTGTTTGAGTACTTGTTTTCAAGAATTCAAAAGGTACGGATATTGCATTTGTAATAAATGATTATTATTTTTTATTTTATCAAATTTTAATATACTACCTCACATTGTGGACCAGAATCACAGATGACTTAGTTTGAATAAGCAGGTTTGTTTTGATATAATATTGAGAGGAAACCGTGATCTTATCTGAATGAATCAAATTATTGCCTATGTTATTTTCATATGGAAAATATTTAAATTTGTTATTGATCCACTTCAATGTCACAGTGTTGGGTATAAGTATTAGCTATATGGGTATGTGTGAAACAAATATAAGTCCAACTTCTAGATGTTTGTTTCTTTGTTTTCTCTTCCTTTTTTTTTTTTTTTTGTAATTAAGTCCCTATATATATGTTGGTTTGTATAATATAGATCTGTAGATGTACTTTAGATTACTTCTTGCCTTCAATTTTAATGTAATATTTTCTTTATTGGAATAAAAGAGTGATCAAACTTTAACTTTTAAGGCTGACCTTATGTTTCAATTTCAAGTTTGATGATTTCTTTCTTTTGGTCACAGGAAAGAGAGGCACGCAGGGAGGAAAATATAAAGTTCACTTGTAGATGCTCTTTCTTAGAAATATATAACGAACAGATTCTCGACCTTTTGGATCCTTCCTCGGTAAACTTGCAGGTGAATGCTAACATTTTGTCTAATTTGTTAATGAATTGAAGTCTTGTCCAAATAAACATGGATTTTGTTTCTGCCTCTGGGAGTTATATATTGTGTTCTATTGTTCATCATACTTCTTCCGGATATTGTGCATCATTTTTAACAAGGTGAATTAGTGTCCTATCTTTAGTTGAGGACCTTGGAATTAGTGAGCACAAGGACCCTGGAATTAGTGAGCACAAGGATCAGTCCAAATTGCTCACTATCCTGTTCCGGTAAGGTCCAACTAGGTACTCCACAGTGATGCATAGGTCAAATGAGGGACTAATGTGTGCTTAAGGAATGTGTTCTGACTTGGAACATCGAACTAGTATAATATTTATATTTGTCATTTCCAAATGCAGCCAACATATTGATTGAACTAAAGAAAATGTGTGCAAATTGCTTTATCAAAAATGAGTAATTGCAAAGTGCATAACTCAGATGGAAGAAGACAACTGAAGATTTTGCTTGTACTCTTACAGATAAGAGAAGATACTAAAAAGGGGATTCATGTAGAAGATCTCAAAGAAGTAGAAGTTACGAGTGCTCGAGATGTGATGCAACAACTTCTTCAGGTATATTCTCACCCTTGAGAATCAATTATCATTATTGCTTGTGAAACTCTCTAGTGTTAACTCCACTTAAGAATAAAGACTGAGGAAAAGAAGCTGTTGATAGTTCTTGAGGTGATTATACAAGTCCATATGCACATGCTAAGCATGACATTTGCTGAAGATTTGGAGATCTAAATATGTGTTCCTCAGAACTGATAAAGAATACCTATAATTAATAGTCAGTTTTAATAAAGTTCATGTTGTTACTTCCACTAATCATTATGTTTCCTAAGCATGCACATATTTGACATGAAGAGAGAGAGAGTTGGCAGGTTGTATCTTTTGTTTGTTATACTAGCAAGTGGAATTGTTGGAGATGAAAATGTTAAAGGGGTGTCCTCAAGATCATTGTTCCAGATCCAACCCATCTTTTTGGTGGATTTCCAAACCAAATAGTGATGAGAGGTTCTTATTGTTCCCTGGGATTCTATGAAAAAGATCATATCTGGTTTTGACCTTGTTTTCTTAATCTCTTACTATGACTTAAGGTTAGTTTACTTATTCCTTTGGAAGTACGTCTAGGACACTGATAATAGAACTAATCGGGTATGAGGGATATTCTTGAATGCTACAACTCAAATTGTGCAGCATTTTCTTCTTCTTTCTTCCTTATCTTTTCCTTTAATTTATCGATGGTTAAATAAATATATTAATGATGAGGTAAAAATAGTGCATACAGAGCGCTCTAGTTTGGAGCCTTGTAATTTTTGGATCAAAGCATTCAACACTAACTACCTTGTAACCAGAATTGCATATAAATGTAGCCAAACTTGACCCAAGTTATTGCAGTGTTTACCAGATTGTCTTTTGATACCACCATTAATATGCCACAACCTTATACTAACCCGGCAGTTATTAATTTTAAATGGAAGATCATAAAGAAAATGAGAGCAACTTAAAATAATTGCTCACAAAATTAAAT